AAACATTTGTATTGTCTGTCATCAAATTCGTATTAGAGGCCCATTTGCTTCGTTATTTTCCAGCACCGTCTTATTTCCCTGAGCATAAGCACTCGTCCGATCAACTTGTATAGTTCCAAAAGGGAAGAATTAACACGTTTATCGTAGATGCGTTTCCGTGGTTGTATGAGTAGACAGAAATATTAGGTTTGTGATGATGACGGTAATTACGTCCCCATCACGTCATCAGTCTCAATTCGAAGTTTTGTTCACACTACCACGTATCTCAAAGCGTTTGTGCTTTGAAGACATAACAAGTGATTTTACATTTGAAACATGCTATCACAAGTTTCCATCTGACAGTTGTCCAAAAAAAACTACGTGCCCTGTAGTCCGCAAGCGAACTGTACCGACCGAGCGACCGCCGCTTGTCGGCGAAGTTAGTGTCAACTTCTGCGGATAGAGAGTGTCACGTGGTCAGCGCAATGGCTCCCCACGGCCGTTAATCTTGGTTTTCTAGACCGGAGCCGCTGTTTCCTTGAAATAGCTTCTCAGTTATCCTCACGAGGCTAAGTGGACTCCGTTCCAGACCAACTACTTCTCAGAAAATATGGTAAGGCCGAGAATCGATCCCGGGACCTGTGGATCTATAGGCAGGAAGTCTGACCACTAGACCACATAGGCGGTCTTACTGACTGTTCTCCGAAAAGAAGACATCTAAAAAAAGGTCCAATATATCGCTACCGGGAACTTTCGTCACAGTGGTTGTTCCTGTGCACTGGAAGCATGGGTGGATCGTTGTGTGCCGAATCCTAACATGGTAATATTACGTTAACTGTACCACATTTAATTGGATTCCAATTGTCTAGGAATTATAACAAGTTATAAAACACAGAAGATGTTGGAAATGAGTACAGGAATACTGAGTTTAAAATCAAATTTTAACATACATATTTCAAAGGAAATCTTCTGATTTCTGTGCCGTCAGTTGTTGCACGTTTTCGGAAACGATCTTACATTGGCTCCGAGTCTGTATATACAGTGTCTTTCGTTCAAACCTCTCACATTTTAATTAATCATTTCGAACAAATTGTGGTACATTATGGATTATAATTAACACTAGATGAAAGAAAAACTGAAATTTTTTCTTTCCGTTTTCCTTCGGTGAAGCTACAGTATCTGGCCGCATATACCTTGACATGTTAGAACAGTTCCTGTATCCCCAGGCAGCCGATCTGCAGCCTAACATAGTCTTCCAACAAGCTGGAGCCCCACCACACAGGGGTCTGCATGTTCGGAGGTTCCTCAGTGCCACCTTCCAAGATCGCTGGATTGGACGTGGCGGATCAATTCGGTGGCCACCACGTTCAGCGGACCTCACTCCGCTCGATTTCTTCCTCTGGGGTTACGTGAAGGATCGTGTGTTCGTGCCTCCAGTGAATGACCTCAGAGATTTACGAGCCCGCATCCGTGAAACTATTGCTACTGTACCAGTGGACATGTTGGAAAAAACGTGGCAAGAAAATGAATATAGATTTGATATTGTTCGTGCTACAAATGGTGCATATGTAGAGGTTTATTAGTGTGTGAAATAATTTTTTTTTAGTTCTTGTATTTCCTGTAGCTTCATTTTCCTACCATTCATACTTTCTGTTCTAAGATCTGATAAAATGTGGGCGGTTTGAATGGAATACCCTATATATATGTGTTGAACAAATCACTGTGAGATAAAATTTGTACTCTGCACCTTCAGCGATTCGCGCATAGTGTCCGCTTGGTATCTGTCGTTCAGTGTAGAATTTGAAATTTTTACGATATAAATTTCTTCACAAGAATATATATATACTTTTTTACTAATACTATCATTCAAATACTTAAACGTGTTCCAATCGAGTAGCAGGAATTTTAAATGAACAAACTGCATGGAGTAATATCCTCCCTGAAGTCCAGTGGTCGGTAAGCTGGTGAAGAAATTTATCGGCCCTCTTGAGGATCTAGAACCTTCTGTTTTTCGCTTCTTATTTTTCAATGCTATGTACACGTTATATTTCAGACATTCGTGCGATAGAAGTTTGTTCCATTTGAGTAGGCAGGATGACGGTATCGTTATGAGCATCTGTTGACTTTATTGCCATATGTTTATGAGTTCTTGTTACGTGAGGAAAGCAGTAAAAACCTATATAAGAGTTAATGGGTTTGTGTCAACGGTTCTGTGTTAATAAAATTTACATATGCAAGGATATAAATTGCACGTACATGTGTGCTCTGTACAAGATAATAACATGCAACGTTTCTAACTTTATATATTATGCCTACTGCGTACCTCCTCTTCATAAATTATGTAATGAATGTTTTATTTACATATGCCTCCTGGCATTTATAAAACTCCATAATCTGCGTTCCGACAAGTTTATCCCGTAAGCAAAGCGATAAAGACATTTCACAGAACCAACATTTTATTACACGTATAAGCTGGCAGTAGAAGCATACAAAGCCCACCGATTGAATTCCATAGTAAATTTAGAATTTTGACACTAAAAAAAAATAAAACTACTTTATTTGCCCAGGTAAATCGAGCATTGGCTTAATATAAAGTATTTTCGTTTTGAAGCAATCTATTCCATAGTTTAAGAGTAAAATGTACCTCTTCAGTAATTGTCAGGCATAATCGGTTCAACAGATTTCGTTCATGTTTAGGTCAGTCTTGTTAAACATTTAGATTGAAGACGTATAATCATCTAATTTGAAATGGAGAGTTTAAAAATTAAGGGTGATTTACGTGACACAACTAACGCCCATTTTACATGGTCTTAAGTACAACTTGGTATATAAATTGACAGTTTTCTGAGGACATACCTAGAATCTGTAAGATAAAATGTAAAATTCTCCCCATGCTTATCTAATTAAGCACTCCGCCATAAAGGCGTATGGAGGTGTGGATGCATAAATCATCTTTTCTTGACCTCTGCACTAGACGGATGTGCGTGCTTATCTCTAAACGCCTACCGCTTCACCCCCGGGAAAATAGCCCCCCTTATGCATTAGATAGGAGACTGTGTGAGTCCCAGAACCGGTACGGACGACGTTGAGAAAAAATCTTTAAACTGACGGGACTCGAACTCTGACCCCTCTTTCGTCTAGCCCGTAACAGCAGCTATATAAACTGCGCTATCCAGCATCTTGCAGGTTCGAAAATGCGAGGGAATATCTGTAGAAAGTTTGTTCTCCTTTGTTTCAATCTGACATTAAGTTTTCTCTGTCTTTTGTATTGAGAGAATAGGGAGTACCACATTACTTAAAAGTTATATCCTTGTAATCTTTCTGTGAATGGGTCCTAGAAAGGAAGTCCCTCAACAGTAGATGTACAAGCTAAGTAACACACATCTACGTATCTGTTCCAAATCGTCGCATATAGCACGAATGCTATTCAACACCGAGCTAATACGGGGAAGAAGGGACTACACCCTTATAGCGCGTTTGATTCAGACTACGTTTTACCTAATTTTAATTTCACTTCACTATTTTTTTTCCCTTGCCACTACAGCCCCTGTGAGCCTAGGCCTACCTCCATGAACCTTATACATAATCTGTACCGAAGCAATGAGTTCTTCGCAAAACTAAAATTATATAACAATAATAATGACATTGTACATCTATCGAACTAGAAACCTATGGAACAAGAAGGTCGACTCTATGACCTGTGCTCACAGCGCCTTAGTGTAGTAGCTAAACTCTTTAACAGAATATGACTTGCAAATTAACGAATACCTTATTGTGAACGGCGCATACCTGCTACCAGCGTTTTTTCAAACTGTCGTTATTTCATCGAGTGCAGAGTCCAGCAGCTGTGTCCTCTTGGGTCACTACATGAGGTGAAACGTTCCGATATGAGCGTGCCTGGACCCCGGAACAGATCAACGTGTTGTGATAGTGCGGCCACACTCAGGCTGTCACATGATACAGTACTGCAGACTTTTTAACCGGACAATGTCAGTATAGTACCGGGGCTTCATTATGGCCAAGTGATTCAACAGCTGACACACGGACAGCACGAAGTCGGTGGTGTTGGCTAAATGTAATCGTGTGACCTGTGAGATTTCTTAAACAGGCCTCAATGCAGTGAATTTACGTGTGCTGCCACTTCGTAAATCCACTCGCAGCTGGTGAGGTATATTTGGGGGTTCGGAAGGATTAGGCCTTGTAGCATCAAGAAATTGTTTGTGCCATTAGAATCAATGTCTTCCGAGGGGATATTATTTTCTTTTATTGCTAGTGGGATGGGACTAAGTCCCTTGTATTGCGGGGTTCCGATGGAATATATAATTACCGTGAAGAATACTGAAGTAATTCTTCTATAGGCCAGCATAGAAAATTGGCAAGATATAAGTATACGTTTTCAGTGTAAAATGTATTCACTAATCTAGACTTTCTCGGTATTAAATACGAAGATTATTCAGCGTCACTTTGCACTTTGGCTGGAGCTCAAATGCCCAATGACGGCAAATTTGATATTTAAGTTATTTTCGCAAGTATTATATGCCAGGAAATATTGTGATGGTGAAAAAATCGATCTTGAAAGTTTGACATATTCACGCTTTTAAGACATCCTCACTGACGAAAATTGGTTTTGGAACGCCATCTATTTGTCTGTATGAATGTACGTGTGTCTGCACCTATGTGCGTCCTTTTAGCGCCTAAACAGTTTATTCGTGTTGCGTATTTAGTACATTCTCCTTCACGGGTCCAGTGCACCTTGAATATGAATATTCTATCTTCAAAAATATGGACCATTCAAATAGACGGAAAAAACAATATTGTGATTTGTCGAAAACGGAATTAGTAGTTTTGGTCATATTTCAGTAATTAACTCAGATTGTTTCCCAAAATAAATATGCATCGTTGGTATTTTCAGGAAAAATTCCTTAAGACCCCTAAGAGAATGTATGTGCAATTTATTTTCACTGATTTTTATTACAATAGTTTAATAATCCCATTTGCTCTGTAATACATGCATACTTAATTCTAGCGTTCAAGTTACACAATATTTGGTCCTTTTCTGTGAAGGTGTGATAGATTTTCTTATATTACATATTGTATAAAGACGTTTTATACACGTGTAAAATTAAATAAATAGGATAGTTAAGAAAAGGGAGAGATGTCGAGAAGAGCTATTTTTGTCTCTCTTAAATTTTTATCCAAGAATTCTTCTCAATTGATATAGAATATAGCATATGTTAGAATTTTTTCTCATATGGTTATATTTTCTAGATTGAGTACACAGATGTTGCAAAAAAAGCACTAAATCACGGGTACACTCACTATAATTTTTCATTATTTATTTTGCACGATAAATATAATGGATATACATATGTACAACGTTAACTAGCGAACCTAAATATACGTTACATAAAAATAATTAAATAGAATATTATGTTAAATGGTATGCGCGAGATTGATATGGGTGTGACGAAATTAATAAGGTCCCTGTCCTCTCTGTGTGGATCCTGGGTACCCTCTCTGTCCAGAGAAATCATCCTGGCCTCCTTGAGCTTCCTCATACCGGATCATTGGTTTATAACCTTCTTCATCCGCTTCATATTGTACGATTTGCTTGCGCCCGTCAGGAAGCAAGACGTAGTAAGTTCCCCTGGCTTCCTCATCCTGTCTGTCCTCTACATGACCGAAATCGCTGCCAGAATCAGGGTCGTTAACCTCGTAAGAAAATTCGTAATTAGCCGGTTCCTGCAAGAAAGTATTATACCATAAATTACAAAATGCTCCATACAAGGAATTGTAGTTCAGCAGTGCTGCTACAAAAAAAAAACTTATTAATATGACGCAGTTACTTTCAGTGCCAAAACTACGTGCTAAATTCAGGTAAATAAAAATTACACGATACGGATTTTATTAACTGAAGTGTCTGAGTTCGTGCACAAGAATTACACTTACAGAGAGATCGTCTACTTGTCCTCCGTTGACTCCTCGAGAGTAATCATATCCACCGTTTGAAATATGTTGACCAGATGCTCCATTAACGCCTCCAAGTCTGGCCGCACTGGAAGGAGCACCATATCGGGAGGAGAGATTGCTACCAAATCCGCCATTAGTTGATGGAGCACCATGCTGAGTGGAGGGAGAGGGACCGAAAGATGAAGGGGTACCATACTGGGCCGAAGGTGCACCACCGAATCCACCGTTTGCAGAAAGGGCTCCGTTGCGACCGATAGCTAAAGGAGCATTGTATTGGGCGGACACAGTTCCACCAAATCCACCATTTTCTGAAGGAGCTCCATACTGTGTAGAAAGAGAGCCACCATTACGGCCAAACACTGAAGGAGCACCATATTGGTTGGATGGAGCAGTTCCGAATCGCCCCGAACCTGAAGGTGTGCCATACTGTATTGAAGGAGAAGCACCATTGCTACCAAAAGCTGAAGGAGTGCCATATTGATTTGAAGGTACTCCGCCAAATCTCGCGGAACTTGAAGGGCCACCGCTGTAGTGACCGAAGGAAGACCCACCAAATCTGCTTGAAGCTGAAGGTGCACCGTATTGTGAAGAAGGTGGACTGGCACCGAACCTGCCAGAGGCTGAAGGAGTACCACTACCAAATCTACCTGATGCAGATGGAGCATTATATCTTGAAGAAGGAGTACCATCACCAAATCTGCCCGAGGCTGAAGGAAATCCACCAAATCCATTAGAAGCTGATGGAGCTCCGTACTGAGAGGAAGGAGAACCGCCAAATCCGTTGGATCTTGCTGAAGGTGCACCATATTGGCTCGAGGGGTAATTTTCTCCGCTGAATCCATTTGAGGCACCTGATGGTAGCCCGTATTGGTTTGATGGTTGTGTCCGTGCGAAAGCAACACCCGTTTCCTGTCCTGGTGGTAAGTACGATCTGTCCGCTGGGGGCTCAGCAGTTACGCAAGCTCCCACCGTCAAGATGAAAATAAGAAAAATCTGTTATGTGAGAAAATTACAGATGTTAGTATTATGTTTACAAGCAACTGAAAAATATGCGAACTTTGAGACTCTCACGGCAGCGACTATCAGAATACACGGCGTAATACCCCGGATGATAGCATCTTCAATTGTAAAACAAACAAGGTTCGTTAATTTCGAAATGGACGAGGAAATATTTGCTGAGAAACATGAAACGGAAATCAAGTTGAATTTTAAAATTGTGTAGGCTTATGAGACACGAGGATTAGAATGATCGAGTATTATTTTAGGACGGTACCTGCATCGGAACGCAAACATAACGATATGTCCTTCAAATGACAATATTCCGTTTTAAAACCACAGATTATCGTGATGAATATGTCCGCTTTTCTCCCCAGTCTGTACATTTTCTTGGGAATATAAATGAACCCATTCCTTTCCTTTCCTGTCTCTTCTATCTCCTTTCTTTAGTGTTTCTTTGAAAGAAAGATCATTTAAATGCTAATTTTAAAGATGCAAGAGTATATGGGAAAAGGTAGTGTACGAAAGTTAGTTAGCATCCAATATTTAATACTACTCGCATGTATAAAGATGAATTGCTGAAATTTGTCTCAAAATTTGGTTGTCAAAATGGGAAATGTCCATGTGTATAAAAGGAAAAATATTCCTGTAACATGCCACGAAGGCCAATGGGGTTTTGAGACGTCGAGGCTCCCACATTTTCTAGACAGTCATTTTACAAATGACAGTGAGGCTGTCAGCCTTATGCACCGGCCGTCCTTTAACCCCAGGAAGTTTCCTGGTACTCATTTCTGTCAAGAGGCTAAGTCGACCCCAGGGCCATAGTGCGAATGGAAGGATTAGATCAATTGAAAATACAGTGGCGTCGTCGGGAATCGAACCCGCGACCTCCACTTTGTCTCATAGTGCCTCAACCAACTACGTCACCGCGTGTCCCAGTCTCTATGTTTAATATCCGATGGTGCAGTGTTATAATTAAACTAGCTACAATTACGCTTAAATAAAAAAGAGACTGAATTTACTACACCACCTGAAGTTGCCTTCCCCCCCCCTAGCTACACTAATTTTTTAATTCGCTAGTGGGGTGGGTGGAGTCCAGCTGGGTCCACTCTACACGGCGACCACTTCTGACCCATTGTACCAGCCCCAGATGCTAAGTGAGGGTGATTGTGGAGCAATTGGTGGAATGAAGATTGGCAGGGGAAACCGAAGTACTCTAAGAAAACCTGCCCCAGCGCCACTTTTCCACCACAAATCCCACTTGACCAAACCCGGGATCGAACCCGGGCCGCCGCAGTGGGAAGCCAGCAACTAACCGCTTGAGCTATGGCGCAGCCTTAGCTACGCTAAGTGAGAATCCTTGTTTGCCAGAATGAAAGACAAATCTTCCAAGACATCACATTACCTTTGCCATGCCTGCCCTGATTGGTTGTAATCCTTCTGTATTCTTAAGGACGCCAGAAGACGAACTGTGGATGAAACTTAAGATGCTGCTAGCATTTATATAGCAGAGCAAGTGCACAGCACCGATGGAGAGAGTACCCCAATCCCCACCTCATGGCGCACAGAGTTCTGAATTGAGAGGGGGACTCATTCTTATCTAGAATTCCATATTAGATTGCTTAATAGTATTGAAATTGAGAAGGATTCTTCTTCAGGATACCCTTACCTTGTTCTCTCCTTTCTCGTGGTGGCTCCGGGTTAAGTTAACAAGACATTGGGTTGCATGATGCTTCACTGCCCTTGCTATGCAACGCCCGGAGGTCCAGCTAACATGATTCGCGTTTGTTTTCTTTATATGTCGTAACACGATGATACAGTTGCAAGGTGTTATGTGCGCAGTTTATGCCTCTTATGCTAGAGGCAACACGCCACACGTATTGTGCATCGACAGAAGAATTTAATAGGCGAAATATAGTATGAATTTCATTGCCTCTGGGCACTTATCTGTTTCACCATTGGCAGTATAATATTAGATAATTATTAATTCAGAACCATACATGTATTCCACTAATCTGATATTCCAAGCGGGAATAATTGAACGTCATAGTGGGTTACGTTGTTGGTCTCTGTCCCCAGAGAAACACAAATTGGGAGTGTCTCAAAGCAGGGAGGCAAGAATAATATTCTGTCATAAGAAAAATTTGCATGCGCATCTTCATAATTTGTACTCCTTAAACATATTATTTTTAAAAAATTAATGATAATGAGACTCGTGAGACGTATGGCACGCATTGCAGTGATAAGAAATGCTTTTTGCTGTACCCGATGATATATTATTTAGCTTACAGGATTGTTTATTGTTCTCTGTTTGAAAGTTCTATATCTTTTTCTCCTACTCGCACCGCATTTCTTTAATCTAAATTTTAATATTATTATTCGATCGGCAAATATGTTTACAAAATACTCTCATCCTGTCAGAGATGACGTATGAATTCTAAGTCCCTCTTCCCCGTCCCCACGCGACATCTACACGGCGCCACCTCCCAGAAGTCTGCTTTCTTCATATTTGTAGTAGTCTTCTTGAGTCGTATTATAGACTAGTATTCGTAGCAGTTTTCAGAAATTCCGGATGATGAACAAAATCTGAAATCTCAGTAATTCTGAGTGTTAAACAGCATCGTCAGACCTCTTTAGGATCTAAGAGTAATTCATGTAAATGAAATTGAAGTAGATGTGACAGAAAAATATATCGCATTAGTTGAATGTACCTCGGTTTCTTAATTGAAGCCAAGGTGATGAGTTGTGGTCAGTTTGTTAGGATATTTTATTTTTATTGCAAAATTTCAAGCGTCAATATTGACAAGTGTAAGTATGGTAAAGCTAAAGCTGTCTCTGTGCTTAACTAATTAAGCACTACGCCATGAAGGTGTGTGGGGAGTGGATGTATAGATCCATATTTTCTTGATCTCGACACTAGTTGGAGGTGAGTGGTCAGCTTCACGCCCCTGCCGCTTTACCCCCGGAAAAGAGACTTCGATACCAAATGTATAGGAGGTTGTGTGAACCACAGAGCCTGTCTGGACGGCTGGAAAAGTGAAAATTCTTGACCCTACTAAGACTCGAACTCCGACTCCTCGGTCGTCCAGCCCATAGCCAATCGCTATACCGACTACGCTGTCCCGGCTTCTAGAATTTCTTTTTTTAATTTTTTAAATTCCCATAGTGGTGGATGCAGTCCAGCTGGGTCCACGGCGGACATTGATTGGCCTATTGTACCTGCCCCAGGTGATTATGATGATGATGGAGAATTTGATGGAATGAAGAAGATTGACAGGGGAAACCGAAGTACTCGGAGAAAACCTGCCCCAGCGCCAATTTGTCCACCACAAATCCAACTTGACCAGACCCGGGCTCGAACTCGGGCCGCCGCAATGGGAAATCAGAGACTAGCCGATTGAGCTATGGCGCGGCCGGCTCCTAGTGTAAGTCCAAAAGCCAAACTTATTTTACTTTTATATCTTATATCACTTCAATTTTATTTTTTTTTCTGCTGCTCATCAAGGTGACTTCATGCAAATTGAGTATCGTTGTGATCTAATAAAATTGTGAGAAATGGTCTCTTAGTAACATGACTTCTATATGCTGATTCTGCCATTCCAAATTGTGGTTGCAAGCAGCTTTAACTCTTCCATTCAGCTTTCTTATCCTGAAGATGGACGCAGCACGATCCTTCGAAACCACCGTAACGTCTGCCAGATTACACTACATCACATCACTCGTTCAGATTTCCTTGAAATCCTGAACATGAGATTAGAGTCTGTATTACAAGCTTAAAAAGAATGGTTTATCCTTGCCGGTAATAATCAAGCAATATTTCCACTAAAAGAACAAAGTTTATGTACAGTAAGGAAGTCATGTATGTCCGTTCCAATGTTTCGTTTATCAATTCATGTAAATACTTTAATGGAATTTAATATTTGTAGTCTATACGGAAAATTAATGCAAATTTCCTTTTAGTCCCTATCGCTTCGCTTTTAACACCGAATTATATATGGATCCGATCGAAGTCTGTTGAATTAATAATAAAATTCTTTGCATACGTAATTTCTACATAAATTAAATATTTCGTAATATGATACATAATCTTTATATGGAATAATTTTAGATATATGTAGTTCATGTATAGCACACTGCCAGAAAAACTAATTAATGCCTTATATTTTAAATGTTATTACTGTTGATTATCTGGTATTATCAGCAATAGATTTTGTGGCTATAAATTCCTGTACGTATATTGTTGATTAATTGTGTCAACAAGATATCTGTAGGCCTGTGATCTGTGCATGTATGTGGAAATCAATTAGGGATGAATAGTAGGAAGGGAATTACTTGGAAATACTCAGTACGCCTTTCCGCTCGTATTTTCTTGTGCCTAGGTAATCTGCGGTCAGAGTTATACACAGTTTAGAAGCCACGAACACGAAGTTTATGGGTAATTGGATTACATTACTGAAGCCAGGTGGACTCAGGCATAGTTACGACACAATCAGCAAAGAACCTTGGAACTTCTTCATTGAAGATCGGACTAATATACTTTCGGAAAGTTACATAATTAAGATTATGGCAGTCTAAAAGATTCTAATTTCCTATATAAACCATTCTAAGACACCTTGAATTTAAATTGCTAGTCGGAGGGTTCGTGATTGCGGTGTCTGGACTGATGTAATCCATCAGAAGTCGTGAAGACGCACAAAAAATTGCCGTTAAATTCTACGTTATCATCTGTTATTTGTATCAAAGATGATATGGCAGCGGAATTTGAGTCTGAACGGAAAGTAAATTAAGTGAGTTGCATGTTGCTCCTGCTTCCCCTTTGCATATACGCCCATTCCGTCATCCAGTTAGGTGAGGGTCGAGACGTGTTTCTTTTATACGTTCATATGTTGAGATGTTCTCATTGTTCGACAGAGGAAGCGCCTAGAAGGAAATTCTGGACTGAACAGCAACTTCAAATATTAATTTGATCACTTTCTTTCAAACAATTATTCCCCATAACTGATGCCATATCAGAATTTCAAATATATTACTTCGATTTCAAAATGTGCGCCCTATCTTTTTTTCTATAAAAACGTTCGTCGAGTGTCGAATTTTCTAAATTGAATATATTAGTACTCTCGAATTTAACCTTTTAAAACCGAGCAGCTTGGTGCAGCGGTAAGACTTCAGGCTCGAGTTTAACTCGGTCGGGAAATCGGATATCTTGACTGATAGTTTTCGTGTTTTTCTTCGGTCCCTCCAAAGAAGTGCCAAAATAGTGCCTCAATTAGGCCACTACCGTTTCCTTCCGGATATTCTCCAATTCATTGTCTACAATTAGTTCTATATACCTGTCTAACCTGAGGTTCTCTGTGAGCCGTGTAATAAACTGCAAAGCATCAAACATTTAAAGTTCACTGTAGGCCAACTACCTGCTTCAGTAGTAATTATATTTGTGTTTTTACTTATGGATAAACATTTGAGTTGGACCCAAGAGGGAGAAAATAATAGGAGACTGAAGAGAATAGCACAATGATGGATTTTATGACGTGTACTCTTCTCCAAGTGTAATTAGAATGATCAAGTCTTGGAGGATGAAACGGACAGGGTATGCAGGCTGCATGGGAGACAACAAGAATGCATGCAACATTTTGGTCGAAAAACCAGAAGGAAACAGATCACCGGAAAGTCTCAGACGTAGAATAAAAAATAATACTAAAACTGGTCTTAGATATGTACTTTACTGGGGTTTTTACTGGATTCATCTGACTCAGGATAGAGACCAGTGGCGGGCTCTTTGTAACACAATAATGAACCTTCTAGAAAATGTTGGGGAATTCTTGAACAGCTGAGCGACTGTTGGCTTCTTCAGTGGACTCGGCTGTATGGAATTAGTTTCTTAATGTATTATCACGTGCTGGAGTGACTTTAGACGAGTTTTTGGTTTGATGACCAGATTTATTTGACTTTTTGATACAGATTTAAATTTACAAACACACTAGCATCCGCAGTCACGTCTTGTATAGTCGTTGCTTGGTAGCGGCTTCAAACGGCGGACGTTCCCCTTTCTCAGGGTCTCTGAAATGTTCCCGGCCTCAGCTACCAGCTTCTAACAGCAATGTCTCACAACAACTGAACCTTGGCAGTTCCCTAACTCCAACTCCTAACTTGTCCTGTTTATAACACCATGTCGCGGACACACATAAAACGCCTTTCCTCCGTTGTTTATGGGGCACTGCATAATAACTGTCGTTGTATAGTTGATTATTTCATGGTCGTTGCCTAGCAACGGACGTACATGCCACAGTATATTTATAGATTTACCATTATTTTCGCAGTAAACAGCGATTTATTCTGAAACAGTTAACCTGTAGCTAATTACAAGGGGCAGAGTGTGTTTTAGAGGTAGGAATATAATTTTTAAATAGTAATTAGATGAATATCATGCTGCAGGTGGTTAAAGATACTTAAAGTTTCTA